TCCTTCAAATTACAAATATCGAAATTATGCAGAAATAAGTGTAAGTATAAGTGTAAGAATTGCGACAATCGGTAGATGCACACACAAATATAAAAACTTCAAAAGACTTTTGCCGAGAGAGAGAGAGAGAGAGAGAGATCTCTATGCGCCAGTTGTTGGGTTTATTGCCAGTAAAGCTTTCACTTTCAAGCATATTTTTTAAATTTATATATTTAAATCATTGAACAGAACTGATCCCGCTCTCAAAGCAGCTTTCGTATTGCATTGCCATTCAAACGATTGCAATCTTTTTTTTTTTAAGTAATGCTGGACAAGCACATAAGCAATATAGTGAAACAAATCGTATTCCAGGTGAAGCGCAGGCGCCCATCCCCATTCAAGGGCATGTCATTGAGACGGCTGAGATCATTCGCCGAATATTGCTCATAAGCATTTTCTTTCTAAACCGCTGTCCACGACACAATGTCCAAATAAAGATTTTTTCATATTTTTTATGCCTTTACCATTACCATTGTGGGTGGATTATACTGGAACTGCGGCTGAATTGACAAGTGCGAAAGGACTAAGCCAAGCCACTTAATATTAAGCTACCGAGCATCTGTATATTTTATGGGACGTCTGATGTGCAATCCTGGACAATTCGCACTAAACTGGTTGATAACAATTGTTCAACAGTAAAAAGGATGTGTTAAGCTCTGTTTGCACACTTCTTAATATATATATACCATGTTGTATTGAATACTAAAAATACACGAATTGAATCGTTACAGCTATTATTACACATCGGATCCTTTATAGATTATAGTCAATGTTATAAAATATTATGAGCAGCATTGCTCTCATGTTCCTTTTCCTATCCGTTTCCCCGATTGTCACGAGAAATTGGAAAAAGTGCTGAAAAAGCAATTTATTCACCTTTCTATCTATTTCATTGGCCAGATTTAAAAGTTGTTTGAATCTGTCCAAAACTATAACTAAAATGTTAAAAAAAATACTACCAAAAAGGTAATGAAAAATTGTATTTTCATTGATAATTATGCGCAGCAATATTGTGTGTAGAACCTTGTCTACTCAATCAGCCGATGAGTTGATTACTCGATAGACCGACCAGATTTGTTCTAGTTGCCTAGGATTCGGTCGCAAACGAACAAACAGCTTTCTGAATTCTTTCTTATCCTTCGTTGATCTTAAAGATTTCTCTCTCGTTCTGAGAAGTTTATCTTAAGTGAAGCGATGTTGTATTTTAGAAAAAAATATCAATAGATAAGAGAATTGAATAGGCTTTGTTTAGACAACTGCACAGCAGGTGCACTAGTAATTCGCACCTCGACTTGTACACGTAGTGAGCAAATTATCACAAATAAGCAGTCACTGAACCTTTTTGTCGTACAAACTGCCTGATAGTAAAAGTTGGGATTAGCAAAAAAAAAAAAAGTAGCCAATGGAAGATGGGTGAACAAAGGGAGACAACGAGCCGGATAAACAAAAAAACCTAAAATTATAAGACGACATCGAAAGTTCGTATTTGTCGTAACTATTGCACACGCCCGTCCATTATTGCAAAGTATCAGTTATTGCTATAGGCTTGCTATAGCTTAGGGCGAACTAAAGATTTCACATTCCGGCGATATTGCTCTACAACTTTCGACCTAAGAATGAAGGCATTCACTGCTCGAATATCACTAAGACTGATGGTATTTAGCGCCGGTGAGATGTAATCTCAACAATCTAGCGAATATGCTTTTTGGAAATACCTTCGATACTGCGATAAACGGAATAATTAGGGTTAAATGATAATTTCATAAGCAAATACACCGAAACGTGTCGTACACAACAGGTGTCGCACTTGTTAATAGATAATTAACGGCTAATTTGCAAAATTGTGCAATGAATATTTGCATTATTACGACTGTACTGTGTGCGTGAACGAATACCGCATAAATATGGCGATTAGTACGAATGATGCCCAATGAAAAGACAATTTGTGTTTCATTATATTGGCAAAAAGTTCTATGTGAGCCGTTCTCTTATTATTCCATCTTCTTTACCTCGCACAACTACTACTAGCTACGTTACGCAAAATTTCTCTCTTTGTACTTTCTCCTCCTCCAGTATGTTGCAATTTCAATGTAAAGGTTCTTTTTTTAATTAATTTCAGATATTTTCACGATGCAACCAACCTCTAAAATGATGTATTCTTAAGGCAAAGTACGTTCGTTACATTTGTAAGCGCATATATACGCGGATATGCATGTGTTCTTAATAGCTTGTTTGTGAGTTAATCAATTTAGACCAACTGAGAGCTTCCAATATCAAAGTCAATGTAACAAAAACACACAACACGAACTTCATAAATATAATAGCTTTACGTACTTGTGAACTCACACGCGCAGCGATGTTGCATAGCCATACATAGCTTAGCTATCTCGTATATACATACAATGTAATGATATGATATATATATATATATATATATATATATATATATTTTTTTTTTTTTTGAATTTATTGATTTTACTTAGAAAACATAAAATAAATATTATATATAAAACATTATTATTGTGAGCATATATATGTATATATATATATATATACATATATACAAACACGAATATGTGAATACACAAAACCAACTGACGATTTATTATTTATTGAAAAAGCAAAAAAAAAAAAAAAAAAAAGAAATTTTAACTCATTGAGACTTTCAGAAACTCAAGCACATTATTATCATCATCATCGTCATCATCATGAGTAGCGTTAGCGATGTACTCATACGATGGATGATGCGACTAAGCAAGCTACATCGTTTATCTTTATATAAATTTCATAAGTGCTTATGTATCTATGCATACGCTGGTATGTATAAATAATACTGCTGTTGTAATACACACACAATTAAGACTAATAAAGACATTAATGATAATGCTATCGGACAAACATATTTAGATAGATGCTTGCGAAGATGTAGCAACAATGATATTTTTGAAAAAGCATTTCGTTTTTACCGAGCTACCCGAGAAAATTAATTAATGTGCAACATTCCGTTCGGAACATGCACAGAAACTTATATACCGCCTATTCAAATTCAGGCGAGTACATTAATTAGGTTATTATGTGCGTCTCTATCGAGAATGACAATCGCGCAAATATATTACATGTACACTTTCTGATGAGGAAATAATGCATGCGATGTACACAATTAACAAGTTTTCTGAACCGGCTATCAGAAAGTTCCGATCCCAGGTACACGCAAGTCCCCAGTAAAGCTGCAAAACAAAATCAATCGCAAAGAAATAAGTGAATAGCGACAATAGAAAGTGTGCAGTGTGTGTTTTGTGCAAATCTAACGATGGCATTGGGAAAGTAACATGATCTGTAGGCGTAGGATGTCCATTCCAACTGAGGAAATTATATTCGCATAACATTTCATATTCACCACCTCTATCCCAAAATAGTCAAAGGAGAGCAATTTCGTCATAATCTGCATTGAATCTGCAGTATAAATGCAATGCTTTACAGAACTGAAGCAGTTTATTTATTTATTTTCTAAATATCATGCCCAGCTAAATCTATGCACAGCCAATATACATAAATGAAAATAGAATTCAATGCATGTAAATTCGAAAGTTAAAGCAAAAAAAAAGTGAAGGAAAATAAAAACGTGATAAGCTAATGCATAATTAAACTGACAAACAATGCGTTAAGAACGGAGATATTTTGCCCAACATAATCCTATCGTTAATGTAGACAATTTGCCCTATAACTGTGCATACGACAACTAATAAGTCAGTCCGTCCCTAGAAATTTGCTTTTAAGAAGGCCCGTTCTCCCTCTGACAGGACTTTGAGTGTGCCTTTCGTAAAGCCTTTTCCCAGAGAGATGGAAACCTCTTAGGCTGATACTCATTCCCAAGGATAAAAACCGTCGGCCGAATCGTGTTCACACCAACTCTTTTTCTTTGATGCATAACATTAGCAAGGTGCTAGGGACAATCACATACAATCACTTCCTCGCAATAGCAGAAAATAGGATTACACTATTAGAGCGCTAGCTCTGCTTTCGTGTCGTGACTGAAGCGCTAGCAGGACAAGAGGGGTGAAATGGGCAAAAAAATACTGCGACATGATAACACTTAACGTCAAAAGAGCATTCAACGCGTCAGGCTGAGCATGCATTCGATTGGAAGCACGAACCTCACGGCAAGGTATCTTACAAATCTGAGACCAATCAACGGTTGTGATGGCTGAAGAGGCGGCGGGTGGGGAGAAGAGGAAGTCTGGCCAACTGGATTACTATTAGTGGTTACGGATTATTTCGCCAATATTACTGCAGGCTTTAAATGCTCTTTCCATTCTTATAACTCACGCACACACTCTCACACACGTTTACTTCACACTTAAAAAGCCCACAAATGCCGTGTGACATGAACCTAACAAGTCGAAAAAGTTTGCTAATTCTGAACAAGCTGAACGGGAATGGGAGCACAATAGATTTGTGCCATAAACAGTGATGAAAGTCCCTATAAAATGTTTACATACATTTTTGACAGCCAAGCTGGTTAAACAATCGCCATCTGTTCATCATGCATATCCGTAATTAATTCTTGGATTATTCACTGCAGCCGCAATTTATGTAAAAAGAGATGAAGCTAGGAATTTATGTTGCGAGTAGCAGCATTTCATCTTTTTTCTTGATATCTTGTTTTTCTAGATTCCTTTATTTACGCGGATATCCGTTACTTTCCCAATATTATCATTGTTATGTGTTTCAATTCAACACAACAGTGGTTACTATGGTTATTGTTTTATTATTTCTTTTGCTCTTGCCAGTTGATGTTAATTATTAATAGGAATTACATCGAAAATATATTTAGAACCGAAAAATTGTCTTCTATTTTACTTAAATTCTGACGGAAGAAGGATATATATATATATATATATATACATATATATATATATATATATACATATATATATATATATATAAATATATATGAGAATCTATTGTCTTGTTAAAGCCAAAGGAATCGTGGGTTCGGGTGTTGGTCCGGGACAATTTACCATATTAAATGTTTCAGCGGTAAACTTTGCAATTTCCTCTAATTCGGAGAAGACCGCATTCTTAATTGCTGAGAGTAGAGCACCAGACCTTTCAATTATTACGCGTATTTTTTCTAGCATCTCTTGGTTGCCCTCTAAAAAGCCCACAAAATGTTGTCCATCGGGGGTAGGCTCGATTGCACCACGAATACCGGAAACTCTTGTCTGTGCTATTCGGAATATTTCCATTACCCTTTGAGGTACCATGACTTCAAGGTCGAATTGAAGTCGAAAGATTTTTGGATCTAGTGTTCCGGTATTTGCTAAAGCCGTAGATTCAGCCATTGCCAGGGGGAATCAACGAGTGCAAACGCGTCACCGATAATTTGTTTCCTTTTTTTACAACTTTTTTACTAAAACAAGAAAATTTTCATTTCTTTTTTTTATTTTTATTTTTTTTTTTTGAATTTTAAAATTTGTCAATTTTCAATTTTCAGAAGCTTAAACGATTGTGTTGTGAAATTTTGTTTCGTTTATTTTAAAATAGTCATCATGTTCAATAAATTTGAGGCAGGAAAGGTAGTAGTAGTAGGAGATAAATAATAATTTTTCGATGTTTGTTTATTTCAACTTTGTGACTTTGTTCCTTTTAATGATAAACGCAACAAAAGCTGTCACTGAAGATGTCATAGTGTAGGTGTAAACAAAGTTGCATATACGGGAAATGAATATACGTAGATGATGCATATATATATTCATCCATTGCAACAGCACTGCAATGCAGAGAAAATGAAAGCACACCTTGGCCTATCTACTATTGGAAGATGTAAATTGCCACGCCTATCTATTTATATCTGAATATATTGCCTTAAAGTAAGCAAAAAATGTATAATCGTTTAGCAAGAATGGCATGAAAAATTAAATTGCGCTACAGACAGACAGCTGTAATGATAACAGTAAGGCTGCTAAGTTGGCAGGAGTGCAACAGGCTTTTTTGTGTATTGAAAGGTTTCCGAGGACTCCAATAGTTAAAAGTTTGCGGTTTCCGCATTGGTCACAAGAACATGTAATATTTCGAGGGACCTCGGGGAAGCTTGTTTAAGGGACACAGTTTCATCCACCGTATAGACGTTACAAAGTATTAATATTGCGTCAGGGGAACATTTGCTGGCGTTGGTGTTCCAGAATTCAACTATGCTTTTCTTACATTTTACACGAGAAATGTTAATCAAAGCTTTCCAGCTAAGTTCTCTTCCTTTTCGAGCGAGTTATTAAAGAAACGTGCCTTCCAGTATTGTTGGAAAACGAAGCTTTTCTTATTGGTCAAGTTCCGGATCCTTTACTTCAATTGTGCGTTGTATTCGCACTACTTGTTAAGAGCAGGAACTGAACTCGATCATCGAGCCAAGTTAAAGCAGTTCATGATGCACGAGTCTCCTCCAATCTCACTAAACATAAAGCATAAAGCATTAGACTCAATCCCAGTTTATAAGCCATTTGTGCAGTCCCATCCATCTTAGAACAGCTTTCACTTTCTGTTACTAATGTCTGCAAAAAGGTCCGGACATCGATTACTTTCATTAGCGATTCGTCGCCGATCTTTCGATATATCGAAGTATGTTGTTGAAGGAAAAGTAGCTTAGAATGTATATATGACGTAAAACGTACGTATTCCCATGTGTTGGACAGTTCATGAAGATTCATTAACTATCATATTTCTGTATTCAATTGCCTTCGTGCGTAACTAGCCGGAGTAGTCTGGCCAGTCTGGCCAGGCAAAACAGTTCCTAGTTCACTTTCAACACGGATATGCTTTTTTGCGAAAACGGCTACTCGCAATCAAGTGACAAAAGTCTTTAGCTGCTTGTCAATTACAGAATGTAGATCTTACATCTGTTACTACGACATATTTTATGGCTTATATATATGGTGCTTTGACATAACTTCTTCTTCTTCTTCTTCTTCTTCGCATTTGTTAGGCCTTCTTTGTTCGCTTTATGTTTTCACATGGCCGTGTCATGTGCTTAAGAAATTCACGGAAGGTAGGGGTATGTCAACTTCTACGCATCAAGTACCCCATACGAGGAGCAGAATTGTGATTGCAAATTTAAAAAAAAAAAAAAATTGAAAATGTTTGCAATATCCTCACTTCTTCCTTATGCTCCGATATTTATCCTGCCATAGCATATGATGGTTAGTTAGTTTGACAGTCTCTACCTTTTGCACAGTGAAGCTTTTGCACAGTGTACATTTAATGGCAAATTTTGCGCGCTGGAAAACTCACCTTGCAAGGTATGATCATCCAAGGTGCTACAATCCCCACTGCATAATAAAACCGTTTAATCTATTAACTCATTAAAAACTTTCCTTATTTAGATAAAATTTCTTTCTAACGTTTACTTGAGTAGGTTTTTTTGATTGCGTACGTATCCCATCGAAGCGTTAAAAAACTTTCCAAATGTCTCTTGAATGCATATATGCATATCAGCAATACTCAAACTTAATCGACTGAGTCATTTTTATGTATATTTATTTTTTCAATTTCTTCGCTACGTTTTAAAACAAGCAAACAGGCTCTCATACATTCTCCGCCTTTTTTACATTCACTGTCGTGCTTTCATTGTTAATATTGCCTTAGCACCACCAGAAAAAGTTACGTAGAAAGAATTAGATTAGGGATTCCTCGCTCTCACAATTGTTTCGGTCATTACTCGTTGCATGTTGTTGATAAAAGCAGGCAAACGGGTTTCATATTTTTTGTATGTGCGGACATATCAAGGCCACGAGGCTAGGAACAAAATTATATAATTGATCTAAAGTTTTTTTTTTTTTTTTTGTATTTAGAAAAGCTAGACCGATATTAATCACTCGTCAAGACTATTTATGTCTAGATATAAATTAATGCAAGTAAATCGTCTCGTATGCATCGTCGAACGCCAATAAAACTTTTCTTTCGGAGACTTTTTCTAATACATTCATTCTAATTTGAATTATATAACTGCTGTTGATTCAACATGATCTATGATCCCGACAATCCTTAATTTAAAAGGATGTAAGCTAACTTGGAACATTTCACTATAAGTGAGATGTTTAAGTAATGAATAATAACGACCGAGCTCTTAAGTTGACCGACGGAAACGAATTGTGAGATTTCGTACAAGAACAAAGGCAAAGTATCTTTGGAAGCGTTACATAAATTCCGGCAATCATTTTATTTACTGTAAAACAAAAAAAAAAAAAAAAAAGTGCCTATATAAAAATGCCGACACACTAACTTGGAATAAATAAAAAATAATATAATACTTATAACATCGATGTATAAATAAAGTAAACCACGCTTGCTTGCCTTCATTCGTTCCCTTAGTTCGTCCGCATGAATTTAGATAGCGAAGCACACAATCAAGGATAAACAAGAAAGGATAATTGCATCATTCCCTGGCATGGATCAGGCTGGAATAGTATTCACGTATAATATAGCTGTGCAAAGTGTCATTTAAACTATATGAAGAGATCATCAAACGTATGTATGCACGAGATCAGTGCACAAGCTATCAACTGGCAATCCCTATGTAAAATCCAACTCGTCGCTGCAATAAAATAATTAAGTTGGCTTAGTCGGCGAATAGTTGACATAGTTTATGAATAAATGAAGAGAAGTAAACTAAACAGCGCTATGCGAGCAATTGTTCTTTGACATACAAGTAGTAATCGCGTTAATATAAATATTTAAGTAAAAAATATTTGTATAACCATCACCGAAGGATGAGAGGTATACACACACAAAGTATACATATTCTTGATCAGCACCAAATTCTAAATCGATTTAGACATGTGTAATGTCTGCTGTTAACATTCAAATTTAACAGAAGCATGGGAAATTCTTGAACGCACTTTGGTATCCAAAATGGGTCAAATCGTTCAAAGGACGCGCCCACAGCACCGCGTAAGCTGAGAACACCTCCGTTTTTCAAAAGGAATGAAAAATTGATTTGTTGCCCGTTACTCATAAACTGTAGCAAATAAATGTACAAAAATTTTGATCGTATATTCTATATATATCCGTTATCTCGGAATTCAGACATTATCGATCGTATCCTCCATTGTTATAGGCCTTGCATTCAATTGAGATTATTGGTTGCAATTTTGTCTTCGTTTGACAAGAGAGAATGGTTGCTTTCACTTTGGCGTACTAACTTCATGGATACTAACTGGTCGGGGCTACGTCAACAACGACAAATCGGCATAGAGCTTAATTTCGAGGTCGTCCTAATGAATATGACAAGTCGACAGTTTGTGCTTTGCAATATATATATATATATATATATATATATATATATATATGTGTATATATATGCAAGCATATTCCATATACGTTCTCTATGACTTTTTCAACTGCTACAATCATAAAAGTGTCATTAATCAGTTGATTAATGCATTGATTGCTATATCGCCTTGAGGTTGGTTACACATACATATCGAGGCTCAATGTCATTATTTATCAATAGACATTATGGCTGCTCGAAACGAAATCTCTAAGGAATTTAAACATGAATTAATAAATAAATAATATTGACGAGATAACAATAACAGAACAGAAAGAAAAAGTATAAAATAACAATGGCAGCAACAACAATACAATGAAAATAAAATTACGAAGAACTTTTCATACAATGAAATAGACTTTCCGGTCGTTGGAGAGCGTCAAATATACAAATACCGAATAAAATGCCATTTATAAATAAATTTTCTAATGATCGTCGAACTATTGTGACATTGAATTCAATGGCTTAGAGCATCAGCAGCAGTAAAATATTTCACACTGTTTACCATTATCGAAGCGTTTATTATGACGGCTGAGACTGGCTATAATTTGAAGTTATAGATATTCTATTTGTGTGTGTTTGTGTGTGTGTGTGTACGCATGCAAACATATACACTAGTTACGGTAGCAGTTATCTATTATTACAGAAAGAGTTCATTAAGTTTGAAAATCAGGAAATGTTAAATTTGCACCTGGATGCTAGACTAAAAACTAACAAGTGATTGACTGCTTGACTGACTGACTGACTTACTGAGTAACATTAATGGTCTGAGATTGTGTGTGCGTGACAAAAGACACTGCTAACCAATATCAATAGTAAAAATTCCTCTACAACCTATTCTTTTACTTGAAATGTTTGTAATTTTCTTCTACACTTATTCTTACAAAAAAAAAAAAAAAAAAAAAATTAAAAAAAAACAAGAAAAAGCAAAAGGTATATTAATTTGATCATTCCGTTTGTAATTCTTTTTCGTCCTATCGCAAAGCTGCCATCCTTAGAAGTACTACATACACAGGCGATCACATTTCATAAACATTTTGAAATTCAATTTCTTTCGT